CTACAAACTAGAAGTCCATCCATCTTCTTCACAACCATCGTCAACACCGTCTCAACGGATAGCGACAGGAGAATCTGAACATCCGATGGTGACTAGATCAAAGGCACGGCAACAATCTCCATTCACACAGCTATGAAAACGACGGAAGCCCTTCAACCAAAAAGAAGTCAGATTCTTGTGTTCAATGTTATCATTGTCTTCTGCCTTTTGTTCTCGCTTTGGGAGTCTGTTACAAACAGATTGTTTTCCATTTGTTATCCGTCTGCCTTCAAAACATCACCGGTATAAATGCCTTCATGCTGAGTATGGTTCAGTTTATCCACTCTGCTCTGCTGTGTTTATCCCAATAAACGACTTTGGACTCGCAGTGTTCGACGCAGCCGGAAGCAGAAGTCAAAACAGTGATATAGGGAGTGGGACGGGAGCATTTTTGGTGGGGACCAGAAAGACCGATAGGAGCTGATAAAGGGCGTAAATTCCACTACAGCCATTATCCCAATGTGCGATGAGAAAATATCTCATTTCTTCGCCATGTCGTTGTCATCCAGTTGACCCGCCCGTGCTTATTAAATGCTCAGTGTCTGTGAAAATACGATAAGCATTGGTATTTCTATCTACTCTTGCGTTGAGGGCTGATAATAAGCAGCCCAAGTAATTGTATTAGTTATCCAAAGGTCATTCGGCTGCTAGACTTTGTTAGTCCTCAGAAAAATGATGGATGTTTATTGGTATTGAAGAACTATGAGAAATTACTGCTTTATCATCTGCTTTCCTTAATACCATCAGTCAAATCATTGAAAGCAGTATGTTACTCAATACAATAGCCCGGCTATACTCAATCTCACTGAAGCCTACGTTGACATGCGTGCGGTAGCGAGTAGAGCAAAACTAGAACTTACATAATATTAGGCTGGAACGATTTTGATGCCGCTTCCGTTTGTGCCTTTGTTTCTCAGCTTAAGCACAATCTTAGGATGGGAGACCATTCATTCGAAAGAGCGATTCAGCACGCATATTGCGAAATCTTAGGCGCCACTGAGCGGATGTTCTTCGAGCCAAAACTTTTGCTTGAAGATGACTGATCAGAAATCATCGTCTGAGCGTATATATAGTGGCGCTTAAAAGTATTCGGCCAAATGCTTTTTCGGCCATAACTTTATTCCTGCTATATCAAAGCAATTCAATTTTTGACATGTTTAAGAGGCAAACTAGTGTACTATTGTTATGTGGGAGAAAGAATTTGGAAGGAAAAATTTTTACACCAGAAATTCTCGAGTATGACCGAATTCCAAGTAAATTTCAATTTATTGTAAAAAGCTTACAATTCAACAAAACAATCTACCGCATAATGGAAACGTTAGCAGATTCAATACTTCCTTGATAACCTTCTGTAGTCGTTAAAACCTTGACAAGGTATAAGTCGGAAATCATTCAGTGATTTCACTGTCTGCTGGAGCACCCTCCCTTGGATAGTGTTTCGATGACGCTTTAACATGTAACTGAATTAGTCGCTCCGTTAGAAGCACGCCATGCTGGCGAAACCACTCCTTCACAGTGGAGGTGCGATGCTTTTGGTCGCTCCATTGCTAGAAGACGAAGACATTAGCGCACAGTTGCCATACGATGGATAGACAATACCTTCTAGAACCTAACTGCATCCGTCCGCCTTCACCGCTGGAATCCTGTGAAGTTGTTCGAGTGAAATGGTAGAGGATGGAACGGGCTTACGCACTTCTGAGCTGGAGACCCCCACAGCGCTCCAACGTCATCTGGAGCGACGAGGGTGAATTTATGTTTGTTGGCGACAGAAGTAGGCATGTGTGGGATCCTGACAGGCGTTTGGATCCAAAGTATCAGCTGTCATCCTTGTAACAGGGACGAGACTCGGTTATGGTAGGTTGTAGAGGAAGCTGTACTGCTGCACAGCATTCGCAAAGTGGTGAAGGCAGACGGATGCATGGTTCTAGAAGGTGTAGTGTATCCACATGTGTGGCAACTGCGCGCTAATGTCTTCGCCTTCTAGCAATAGAGCAACCAAAAACACCGCACCACTGTGAAGGAATGGTTTCGCCAGCATGGTGTGCTTAACGGAGATTCCAAATTAGTCACATTACGAGAGATGGCAGGGCAACCTGCGGCAGCTAGGAATATGGAAGACAAACTTGTCAAATTTGAGGAAAAATTGGGAGGTTGTCCCAATAGACAGTGCAATCAGTGATTGATTCCACACTTAGACCTTGTCGAGGTTTTAACAACTCAGAAGGTTATCAAGAAAGTATTGAATCTGCTCAACGTTTTCTATTATGCGGTAGATTGTTTTGTTGAATTGTAAGCTTTTTACAATAAATTGAAATTTACTTGGAATTCGGTCATACTCGAGAATTTCTAATGTAACAATTTTTTCTTTCTAAATTCTTTCTCCCATTCAACAATATACACTTGCTTAGTGAAGAAGGTTTGCCTCTAGAAAATATCAAAAATTGAACTGATTTGATAAAGCAGAAAGAAAGTTACGGCCGAAGAAGCATTTGGCCGAATACTTTTCAAGCAACGAAAAACGGCCAACAAATCTCACTCGTTGTGTGCAAAACATTGAGCAGTAACGCTCATATAGATAAACGGTAGATAGATAGAGATAGGAGAGATACGCTCATATAGATGCGCTTCAGCTATGGCTTCAGCTCTTGCAAGAATGAGGTGAAGGTTCTGGCGAAGAAGGTCGTGGATTTCGACCTCTCGCTCTAGAGCGCACAAAACTTGCATGGAGATTCAGTTGTGTCAACAGAAAAATTTAAAAGTTCCTACGTGCGACTGTTAAGGCCTTTCAGGATAGAAAATGGGTTCGGCCTATTCTGAGCGACGCGAGCAAGCAGTACTGGTTGCCAATACTGGAACTTCGCTCCATAACTTCAAGAGGAAAAAGGTTCTTGACTTCGTGTTGACCGCATTTTACAAAGAGATGTTTCCCAATAACAACGCGAGAAGACGACCGTGGTTGGCGGCTGATGGACAGCTGAGGGTGACTTCGAAACCAGACCACAAAACAAAAAGAAACAAAACCAAATCCACGGAAACAAAGTCATGTTTTTATATGTTGATACCAGGTTTGCTCCGCCCGCTATCGCGCGCATCACAGGGTAGGGAGGAACCACGGAATAGCAGCATGACGTACTCCATTAACCACCTCACTACTGAATGTGTTA